GTTTTACGTTATTTTTTTTAAATGTCGGTTTTCTCAACCGAGCAAATTGGTCAGGGAAAATTAGCTTTTATTCCGAGGGAGTTTTTCAACCTCCTGTTCAGTTGTTTGTTTTTGTAAAGTTTTGGTCGTGTCAAAGTGACACGAAATCCTGGAAGATACTGTTGTTTCCAGTGCAGTCACGGAAAGGAGCCCATCCCAGAAAAGGAGCTGAAAATGGCCGAGGAAAAAAACGAGGTCCCCGGGGAGACACCGAGAGAGAGAGAGAGAGACAGACAGACAGACAGAGACAGAGAAGCAGGGAGGCCACTGCCATTGACAAGCCCCAGTTTGTCCCCGCTTCCACTTCGTTACCGAGCCCCGGGAAATCTTGGAGGGGGGGAGGGGGAGGGGGAACTGCAGCCAGGTGCGGGTAAGTGTGCGGAGTTAGGAGGGATGGAAGATTTCCAGGAAGATAGTGCCGATAGGGCTGGCCCGGTCGGGGGGAGGGGGAGTCTATTTTTAGATTGAGACACGCGAAAGGGCGGCGGCGGGGCGGGCGGGGCGGGGCGGGGCGGGGCGGGGCGGGGCGGGGGGCGGGGCGGGGCCCTATGGATGTGGGTTTGGAGTGCGACCCACCGAGCGACTCACAAGAGTCGTTCGGACGCTCCGTCTCTGTCGCACACGGCGCGCGCGCCGGGCGGGGCGGGCGGGGCGGGCGGGGCGGGCGGGGCGGGCGCTCCGGGGGCGCGAGAGAGACAGTGCGAGGGGCATTCATGGGCCGCCGAACAGACCGCGGTCCGAGTTTGGCATTGGCGGCGCCGCCCGGCCCCGCCCCTGCCATCATCCCCTCACTCGTTTCTCCATCTCTCTCGCACCTGGAGGCCTCCAGGGCGACGCGCCGTGAGTGCGAGAGAGACGGAGCGACTCAGCCCGCCATGCTCACCGCGCCGAGGGGGCGACCGGACCAGCGGCCGCGCTCCCGGGCCGCACCGCAGACTCCAGGCCACGCCCAATTCTTGGAACACAGTTAAAAAAACTTAAAAATATTCAATTAAATTAATTAAAAACAATTAAGCTGATTGCAGTTTCGGATGTTTTTTGCCGATCGGCCAGCCATTAACCCAGAAAAGTATGAGCACCAATGTTCTCAGTTCCAAACTAAGACCGTGCGCGTTGATCATTCAATGGAATTCAGTTTGATTCTTCTTGAGAAAGTGCCTCTCTTTCACAGTGTAAGCAGGCGTGTGTTACCCGAAGGACAAAATTGTTGCATGCCCAGCACGTGCTGTGCGATGTGTAAACCGCAGACTTCTCTCAGCCAAACACGCCAAAGCCTGCAGACCGAGAGTCGTTTTCGTCGCTCTGTCTCTCTCGCACCGATGGGGCGCCTCGTATAGGTGCGAGAGAGACGGAGCGACGCAAACGACTCTGTCTGCTGGCCGCACTGCCCGCACTGCGCATCGTCCCCGCCATCGCCAAAACGCCCTTGGCCGCCGGCGGGGTCAGCCTGTCTCTATCTCTCTCGCACTCGCGGGGCGGACCGCAGTCCCCGCAGGAGTGCGAGAGAGACAGAGCGACCAAACGATTCTTCGGAATCGCCGGGCAGGAAGCGTGAGGCGTGGGAGCGCCGCGCCACCGCGCCTCAAGGCCTCCCTCAGGGACGCCCCGCCCCGCCCCGCCTCCTGCCAGCGCACATGATGGAGGGCGTGCGTGCCGCGTGCAGTGGACTGACCTTGTTTGTGTTCTTGTCTGTTAGCAGGTGAGTCCGTTCGGAGAAGGCGAAGGGTTCAACGCCCCGCGACACCCGAAAGCAGCCGAAGACGCCCGAAGGCCGTCCGCAGAGTCGTGAGTGACTGAGCGGCGCTAAGCAGTGCACTGTAAACAAGCCATTAGTTGGGGCGGAGCGACACCGCCAGGACGTGTTGGCGGCGCCGTGGACCCGGGTGGGCCTAGGGTGGACCCCAGCGATGCCGTAGTAGTGCCGGGAGGGCGGGTAGCGCCCGCCGTGTCATTGCCTCGCTGGGGCTGAAAAAACACCCCCAGCCAACCACCGTGTGCCGTGATCGCCCCCCGTGGTAGTTCGTGCCATCATCATAACCATCCGTTATGCTGCCCGGCGTGCCCGGCCGGGTCTTGTTCTCCCACGCAAACCGCATTACACCACTGGCGAAAAAAAAACATCGAAAACCTCGACAAAAACAATTTTTTTTGAAAAAAATCTCATTCAACGAACGTTAATGAAAGCAGATGATACTCGTTTGGTTTTCTTACGGGGTAGTATGCGGGCTCATTCCAAAGATAGTATTTAAAATTGTGTATGAAACAAAATACATAGACCCGAGCGAGCTGGCCGGTGTAGGTACTTGGGTACTGGCCGTGCCGAGCTGTGGCTTGCACCGCCCCCCGCCGAGCCCGAGCGCCCCAGGCCGGGCCGAATCGAGAGGCATTGTTGCGCGTGCCAGGCGGGGAGGGATTGTCAATGTGAGGAGAGGGTGCCATTGTTTACGCCCGGTGCCGCTGGCGCTGTACCGCGGAGGCATTGTCGAATTCCGCGCAGGCTGCGCCTCACCGCCAGCCGGCCAGACACACCAGCCCGCCCCGGCAGCCAGCCCCTATTATATTGTTAGGATACGCGCTTGGTTTCTGGACTCGAGAGTAAAAGCACGCTGACACCTTCATTTGTGTATAAAAGTTTTAAGTAAGTATGTTTCAAGAGTAAAGGTATCATCTGCTAAAATTGTCGTTTTGTGTGTTTTTTAAAATTGAGTTTGATGCGGGGCCTCGCACACACCGTGCTCGTTTGACTTTTGGGATTGCACGCCGGCATTCGGCTCCACGGCTCCACGCCGCGCGGCGCGTCGAGCGGCGCGTCGAGCGTACTGACCTATCGGTCCGCAGGGGGTCGTGCCGTGTTCCGGGGGCTGGCCAATGATTAGGTCTATCTGTCTGTCCTGTCTGTCCGCCTGTCTGTCTGGCTGTGAGGCCGTCCGCCCGCCCGTCCCGGATTCATTATTTTCATTGCTGCCGGAGACAAGCTACACAGGTGGCCATCCTCGTGTTAAATGAACGAGACTGCGAAAAAAGATTGCGCCTCTCTTTTTCAATTACCACCCCGGTCGCCTCGCCGCGCCTCGCCTTCGCCCAACTTCACCCCTTCGGGCTTCGCCAGCCTTCGCCAGCCTTCGCCCGGCCTTTTCATTATTCACCCCACTTCTGCCGGTGACCCACTTCCGGGGCGACGGGCAACGCCGGCAACGCCCCAGTGGAAACAGAAAGCGCGGACAGGACATGATCGGCGGGATTCGCGCGACACGGCGGCGCGCAGTGGGCCAGACGACCGGTGGATAGTCGGCCGAAACTCTAGACGCGTTTTGAGCTCCAGAATCGCTTAACGGGACTCGAACCGGACGTGTGACCCCACCCATGGATTCCTCGTCCGGAGAGCAATCCATTGGTGGGGTCACACGTTCGGTTTGAGTCCCGTATAGCGACTCTGGATCTCAAAACGCGTCAAGAGTTTCAGCCGCCTCCACCGGCCTTCTGGCCCACTGCGCGGTGCGGTTGACGGTGAGGTGGCCGACGACGACCTTTACCCACAGTGATAAATGGGAGTGCAAAAACGGAGCGGCACAGAGCAATTAATCAGACAATTAGCGTGCAGCAGGTGGCGAGGACGTCCCGGGGACGCTGACGGCCTGCATGGCGGCCTGCCTGGCGGCGCGGCGGCGCGGCCCTGGCGGGGCAGACAGGCAGCCGGCGGCACCGCGGGTGGGCAGCCTCCACACGCTATGTCATTCTGTCTGTACTCACGAGACAGAGGGAAGCGGAGAGAAGCTGCCGAACCGAAAAAAGGCTCCTTGGTGCTAGCTGCTGGGTTGCCGCGGTCGTCGCAGACGCGGTCCACAGCGCGCCAGAAGACCGGACGCGTTTTGAGGTTCTAAATCGCTGAACAGGGCTGGAACGGAACGTGTGACCCCACCAATGAATTCCTCGTTCGGAGAGCAATCCATGGGTGGGGTCACACGCTCGTTCCGAGTCCCTTTTAGCGACTCTGGAGGTCGTAACGCGTCTCGAGTTTTGGCCGCCGGCTCGCTGAGCGCGGTCTCGCCAGAGTCTCGCCGCCGTGAGGGCAGGCCACCCCTCGGTCGCGTGCCCGAGTGAGAGCGCGTCGCAGTCGTGGCAGTCACGCTAGTCTCGACAGCTCACCCCTGCTTCAACTTCTTTTCCGGCCGCGGTTTTTGGCACCTGCCTGTGACGCTGCCGACATTGACACGTGGCGCGGCACGGCACGGCGTGGCACGGCATGGCACGGCACGGCACGGCGCCAGAGCTGAGCGGCACGAGCGCGCGGCTTTCCCGGAGCCTTTGTTCACGCCCATGACGATGATCATCATAATGGCGATACTGGGGTGGGGGTGGCGGCACCGTGCCGCGCCGTGCGGCGGTTCCATCGACAAAACAAATGAAGGCCGCACGCCCCGCTCCGCCCCGCCCCGCCACGCCACGCCCGGGCGCAATCTGCTGACATCTGCACATCCTCAATTCCCTGATGCTGCTCTGCTTTCTAGCCGCCACCGCGCCCTGTTCCCTTCCTCCTCCCCCCCCGCCCCCAATCCCACTGCCAGACCGCTCTCCCCCCCCTTCTCGCACCATCCACCGCCGCCCCTCACGCACCGTTACCCCACGTGTGTTCTCTTCAATCTCTGCCTCCACCTCATGTTGTTATTTTTTCTCGTTATCTTTTTAAACGTCTTGTTTATTTTTCGAGAGCCAAAGGCAGACTGGAATGTCTCGCAGTGGGCCGGAAGACCGGAGGAGGCAGCCAACATTCTAGGCGCGTTTTGAGCTCCAGAGTCGCTAAATGGGACTCGAAACGAACGTGTGACCCCACCAATGGATTGCTCTCCGAGCGAGGAATCCATTGGTGGGGTCACACGTCCGGTTAGAGTCCTCTTTAGCGACTCTGCACTGAGAGATGTTGTTTCAAATCAGGAATGAAAACTTCGGTCTGCGGGATCGACATGTGTTTCATCCGTCCTACCTTAACACAGGTACTGAAGTTTTGGTTCCGGGCATGGAAAATTTTAACGCTGAAACGAAAGTTTTGACGCGTAGAACCCAAACTTTAGTACCTGTGTTAAGGTTGGACGGATGAAACACATTTTGATCCCGGAGACCAAAGTCTTCGTTCTTGATGTGAGAAAATCTCCCAGTGTGGAGCTCAAAACGCGTCTAGAGATTTGGCTGCCCCTTCCAGTCCCCTGGCTCGTGTTGCTCCTACACCGGAAAGCCGCCTACCCCGAGTTCCCCGAGGGTGCGGCGTGCGTAGCGCGGTGTAGCGCGGCGTTGCCTGACCGTTCTCGGCGAAAAATTGCAAAGGCGTAATACAGCAGAGATTTTTAAACAGCCTGAAAGGGAGTGGCCTCACCGGTGGCCCAAAGTGGAGTGTGCAGAGAACGCCTGCCGCGCAAACACTCCTTTCAGCCGCTCCCCTCGTGCCCTTTGTGTTTTGAAAATTTCGGGGGGCGGAGGGCACTCCACACCGAGCGCAGTTTTGAAAGCGGCGCCCGGGATGTAGGCCAGCCGAAACGAGGCCGGACTCTGCAGCCCTTTTCCCTGCCTCCCTGCTTCGGTCTCGAACCTCGATACCTTGTTAGGAGGCGACTGATTGTCTGACCTGGCCCAACCCTGCCCGACGACTGCCTCTCTCTCTCTCTCTCTCTCTCTCTCTCTCTCTCTCTCTCTCTCTCTCTCTCCCTCTCTCCCCCTCTCTCTCGTGTGGGTGTGTGGCAGCGTGGCGGCAGTAGTTCGACTCCTAGTTACCCCGGTTGTTGTTCGAGGCCATGGCAACTTCCGGACTTAGAGCCGCACCGGTAGTATTGAATTCCGGTGGACAGAGCACCGAGTGGTGACGCGTCGGAAGCACGGAAGCACTTCTCCGAGTCCGTCCGTCCCCAGTGCTGGAAAAGTTGAATCAAGGCGACTTGAACTTCAGTTTCTCTTTTGGTTCACTTTTAACCTCGCGGTGTATCATTATCGGCAAGTCCAATGGCGGGCTGCAGCCTGTCTGTCTGTCTGTCTGTCTGTCTGTCTGTCGGTATGTCGAGCCTGAGCGACCCGCCACGCTGTGGTCTCAGTGCAGACGTTAAACCGACAATGGCCCTGTTATCCCTCTGCTTGCACTGGCTTTGCGGGATGTGTTGACTCACTCTGGATGCAACCCCCCCCCCCCCCCCGCCCTATCCCCCCCTGTGACGGCGCGTACCACCGGCCGGCCCTCTGGCTTTATACTTGTTCTAATGAGGTCCTGAAGTATAGCAAATGGCTTCACAAACTTAGATTGCACGCTCGGCTCGGCGTGGTTTCAAGGAGGGGCGGAGTGGGGCAGGAAGTGGGAGGAGGGCCTTGCCGGCCTTGCCGGGCTGTTAGCAGGGTCCTGCCATCCGCGGTTCCGGGCCCTCTTTTTACGGCACTGAGGCTACAACACTCGGAAACGGCGCGTGGTTTGGCGTGGCGGTGTGGGGTGGGGCGGGGGGCGCGCGCAGTGTGCAAGAAGACCGGTGGCGGCGGCCAAAACTCCGGACGCGTTTTGAGCTCCAGAGTCACTAAACAGGGACTACAAAAGAACGTGTGACCGCATTAATGGATTCCTCGTTCGGAGAGTAATCCATTCGTGGGGTCACACGATCGGTTTGAGTCCCTGTTTAGCGACTCTGGAGCTCAAAACGCGTCCGGAATTTTGACCGCCTCCACCGGTCTTCTGGCCCACTGTGGGGCGGGGCGAGGCGGAGCGTGACACTAATTCGTCGTGACCTTGCTTCCATGCGATGCCCCAGCCCAGCCTCCGCGTCTGCCCGCTAGCTCCAGTCCAACTCATCCATTTGTTTAAAATCTATTCCCTTAATCTATTTTTTAAAATTTTGTTTTCCAGAGCCTGCGGCGCCTGTCCCAGAGCAAGGCGATCGCCAAGATGACCGTGCTGCACAGGTCCTCCGGCTCGTCCAGTGGGACCCACTCTGCCGATGGGTCGCCAAGCCACTCGGCGTCGCGGCCCGACGGCCGCCCCGAGTCCGACCTGCTGTCCAGCGCGTCCTCCGCCCTCCGGAGGCTGCACTTCAAGTCCTCGGCCAGCAGGAGGTGAGCGGCAAGGCTTTCCAGAAGGACTCGTGCACTTTATTTGTTCGGATGGTGATGATGGACTTTCTGCTCGCCAGGTACAAAGGCAAGCACGCCGGCAACGCCACGCCGCCCATCCCCACGGTGGTCATCATGGGTTCCAGCACGACGTCGGAGACGACCATCAACACCAGCACGGACTCGGCCACGACGCAGGTGACGGCCGTGACGGCGACGGACGGCGAGACGACGGAGGACTCGCTGGACCGCGGCCCCAACTTCGTCATCAACGACTCCCGCGATGAGGACGTGTTCGTGGGGACGTTCCCGGGGACGCCGTCGTCGGACTCGCGGCTGCAGGCGACGCCGACCACGCCGCTGCTGAGCGCCCTGCACCGCAAGACCGGCGACCAGAGCTACCTGTTCACGCGGACGGAGATCGAGGACGACGGCGAGGACTTCCTGGGGGACCCTTCGTCGCCGACCTGGCTGACGTCGTCGTTGTCGTCCGTGGCCGCCACGACGCCCACCATCTCCCCGCGGACGTCCACGTCGTCGCAGGTCATCTCGCTGTCGTCGCTGCAGCGCACCATGCCGGGCACCGTGCCCTCCTCGCCGCCCTCCACGCCGCCCAACACGCCGCTGTCCAAGACCAGCCCGCAGGTGAGCCCGCTGCACCGGCCGCGGCACTTGAAGCGCAAGCAGCACGTGAGCCGCAAGTCCAGCCACGTGGCGGACCGCCGGCACTCGCACTACCACCCGCCGCCCAGCCCCACGCTGTCCGTGCGCCTGGCCGCCGACAAGCGCCGCATGTCGGACCAGCCGCGCTCGTCCGCCCCGCACGCCCCGCACGCCGCGGCGTCCTGCCACGCGGCCGCCGCCACCACCCTCAACGGCCACGACTCGGACTCGGACTGCCCGCCGCGCGCCGCGCACCCCTCCAGCCGCAGGGCCTCCAGGGCGTCCGCCGGCAGGCCGGCCACCACCACCAGGAAGGCGCCCGCCACCATCGTGGTGCAGCAGCCCTCCGTCACGGGCAACTCACCCGAGGGCGGCGGCGACGGCCACATCGACGCCAACGTCTTCATCCTGGACAAGCAGCAGCTGGACGTCAACAGCCACTTCAACACGCTGCAGTGCCTGGAGACGAGGTGAGTGACCGCCGGCGCACCCCACAGTGGGCCAGAAGACCGGTGGAGTGGCCGAAACTCTCGACGCGTTTTGAGCTCCAGAGTCGCTAAACAGGACTCAAACCGAACGTGTAACCCCACCAATGGATTCCTCCATCGGAGAGCAATTCTTTGGTGGGGTAACACGTTCGGTTCGAGCCCCCCCATATTTGCTGCTTTTGGACTCGCGGGACCAAAAAATCGGTGCAGAAACGTGTCGCGGTAAACAAGCTGCGGAAATCCACTTTGGGGTCGCGCCTCGCCTCGACGCCGCGGAGGCCGTGGCGGTGGTCGCGGACCCGAGGCCTAACAGGCCTTAGCCGTCAGCTCAAGTCGGATCTCGAGGCCGGGAGGGGAGGGGAGGGGAGAGGAATGCCCTTTGTCGCGGAAGCCCCGCAGCTTCCCCTCACCACGAAAACAGAGGCGGGAGACAAAACGCGGCCAGTTCGGTTCGGGCTCTGGGACACCAAAACTACATTAAACTACCTCACGGTTCAACTTTGCAGTTGGTTGTGGCGACGACAAGTCGGCCGAGGCTTTTGATCGAGGCAGCTAGGAGGAGGCGTGCGCAGCGTGCGCCAACCCTTTCCTCCAGCCGAACGGCCGAGCGGCCGAACCAACAACTTTTCGCTGCTGCCACTGCACTGCGCTGAGGGTTGCTGTAGCCGAGGCTGTAGCGATGTTCGGGTGTACATTGTTCGGGTCTCCATCGACTAATCTTTTCCCCCGCGATCCGGTTCGCTCCTCCTTTCGAAGTTCCTTCCCCAAAGTCCCCCTCCAGGACATTAAGGAGCTCGGCTTAGCCATTTTGCCTCCCTTTGCGAAGTTTCCCGCGCTCCGTCGAGCGGGACAGGAGCGAAGCAAGGGAAGGCGGTCCGATTTCTTCGGAAAGGGGAAGGAGGGTGAATTGAAAACAGCCCCGAGTCGACTAAGCAGAGAACCCCTTCGGCTCACTTTGCTCAGAAGCACCTCCGCCCCCTAGTGGGCCAGAAGACCGGCGAAGGCGGTCAAAATCCCGGACGCATTTTGATATCTAGTGTCGCTAAATGGGACCCGACTCGAGCGTGTGACCCCACCAATGGATTGCTCTCCGAACGGGGAAGCCATCGGTGGGGTCACACGCTAGGTTCGAGTCGCAGTTAGCGACTCTGGAGCTCAAAACGCGTCGAGAATTTTCGCCTTCTGTCCCACTGTGCACCCCCACCCCCTAACGCCGAGTGTTTCAAACGAGCGATTTGGCGTAATTCCGATTCAAGGACTCGGTGATGCATGCGATCTGGCTAATGCTGCCAAGTAAAACCGGTCCAGGGCGTTCCGCGCGGCCCTTGGGCTGTCTCTCTCTCTCTCTCTCGCACTCACGTGCGCCTCTCATGGGGCGAGAGAGACAGCGTGAAGAAAACGACTCTCAGTCCCCTGTGTAAATGCAAGAGTCCCTCCGACCGCCTCGCAGACACAGTCGCCCTGAGGCCTGGCGAGCCGATTTCACCCTCGCAGGGATAAATTGGATAAGTCCGGACCGCGTTTTTTTACTCCGCTTTATAAAGCAATCAAAGATACCTTTGGCACGTTACAAGCTTCCGGAGATTGGGAGCCCGTTTCCGGGAAAGAATTGAAAGGCGCGGGGCTCCGGGTGAAACGGAGTCCGATCCAACTGCCGCCCCGACATGCACATTCCACAAATTTAAAAAAAATTCAGGTGCAACAAGAAAAAGAAAACCTAGCGCGATTTCGAACCCTGGACCTTCGTCACCACCGATGAGCTCGCTAACCACTACGCTACCACCTTGCAGGTTCGGGCGGCCGCACCACTCCCGGTCGCAGTCCGTGAAGACGCCGGGGCGCAGCGGCAACGTGTCGGACCGGCAGCGGCCGCACCTGCTGTGCCTGCCGCAGCAGCGCGCGCGCGTCGCCTCCATGCCCAACACGGGCGTGGAGGAGGAGTACTACCGCCTCAGGCACTTCTCCATCACCGGCAAGGGCATCGTGAACCGCGGCGACTCCCTCAAGAGCAGGCGCTCCAGGTCCAAGAACAGCGTCGCGTCCTCCAACTCCAGCCACAGGTAAGTTGTGGCGCAACCCCCCGCCCGTCGTTTCAGCGGTCACACAACAGTTTAGTCAGACCGAAGCCCAAAAAAGCGTTGTTGTGTCCGGTGGCCAGTGATTTTCTCCGTTCGTTACGTTGCACAGTGGGCCAGAAGACCGGTGGAGGCGCCTAAAACTCTAGACACGTTTTTGACCTCTGACCCGCTGAATGGGACTAGAACCGAACGTGTGACCCGGTGTGACCCCACCAATAGATTGCTCTCCGAACGAGGAATCCATTGGTGGGGTCACACGCTCGGTTCGAGTCCTGTTTAGCGACTCTGGAGCTCAAAACGCGTCTAAGGGTTTTGGCCGCCTCCACCGGTCTTCTGGCAAATCCACTGTGCGTTGCCTTCAAGTTCTGCGGGTTGCAAGGTCCCGCACGGTTCACCAACAGTGTCCCAAACACAGGGCGGCGATTACACAACAACACGAGTCGGCTATCGAACTTTGACATTCAGGTGGTTCCCTGCGGTTCGCTGCGGACTGCGTCCGAAGGCCCGTTTTGGTGGCGCTGTCCCTGTCGCACTCATGGGGCGTGCCGGCGTGGCGGCGTGGCGCAGGGCCCCGAGGGGTGCGAGAGAGACGGAGGTGCCTCACGGCACGGCCCGGCCGCGCTGCGCCGCTGCGCGTGCGTAACCTTCGCTTTATGAGGTACGCGATCAGGGATTCAGGCAACGCCTCGGCAACGCCGCTCTCCGTGACGCCACAGCTCGCCAGCGTGTCGCTCTGTCTCTCTCGCACCCCTACGGCGCGCCCCGTGAGTGCGAGAGAGAGCGCCGCCGGAATCAGTCCTGCACCGCCTACGCTTGCTCCAGTGGGGTGGCGGCCCTCGCGGCCTCGCGGGTCGTGTGTTTGTTTTTCTTGTTGTTCGGCGTGGACGTGCCCCATCGTCATGGAATCGCCATGGTGCACCAGGGACAAGGGGCGGCCGCACATTGCAGTATAGCGACATGTGGGGGTTGGGCGGGCTGAAATCGGACTACCCCGCGATATTGACGGGAGGGGGGGGGGCGATTTTAGCAGTGGCGCTTCGAGCCAGTAATGCGTGCATTCCATCGGCCGGCCGCATGCACTACCGGTGCGGTCGATTCCGAACTAGTCGCTCTGTCTCTCTCGCACTCGTGGGCGGCGCTTCGCCAGGGTGCGAGAGAGACGGAGCGGAAGCGCGCCGCCCGGAACCGCTCTGCTGCGCGCTGCTGCGAGCCACAACGGTGTTCCGGGAACCGTAAACCCGACCGCAGGCCTCGCCCAGCCTTGCCGCACGCAGGGCGGGGCCGAGCGGGGCCGGCCGGGATGCGCCTCAGATGGGTTGCGGCGTTAGGGCGTGACGGTGTCACGGCGCACCGGCAGCAGGTGGTCGCAGAAGGACGCCAGCCCTGCACAGCCCTGCAGCCCTGCACAGTGGGCCAGAAGACCGGTGGGGGCGGTCAAAATCCCAGGCGCGTTTTGAACTCCAGATGCGGATGGGCAATCCTTCCGACGGACGAGGCGAATGCGCGTGTGAGTTTGCTTACTGACTGCAGCGCGCGTACTTACACATCTTGACTGCTGCGACTCCCCGCCCGTACATGCAACAACCTTTGTGCTCCATCGATACGACGCTCTTGTGTACTCGCGCGTCGTACACACACACACACACACACACACACACACACACACACACACACACACACACACACACACACACACACTGTGTACACAGCATGCCTAGCAGAGGGTGTTTGCTGCAGCGGGCCCGCCTCCGCGCGCTACAAGGGCTGGATAGGTCATCAATTTGCCGACCGAGCCGCGCCGTCCCGCGCCGTCCCACGCCGTGCCGTGCCGTGCCGCACTGCGTAGCCCAGTGGCACTGCGGAGCGCGAGCGATTATGCGATCCGAACCGAACAGACAGCACAGGAATAAAAGTTGTCGGCGATAAACTGCGAAACCGAACGGCGAGCCTCGCCAGCGCAGCCAGTGCGGAATACGAAAAGCCAACCCGTCTCGCGGCGCGACCGGCGCGAGTGCCACGCCGGCGTGCCTCCGGCTGCCTCCGCCCCCGGGGACCGCACCGCCACTGTAAGTTACACGCGGAGCGGGCAAGCGTCGCACTCGTCGCAGTGGGCCAGAAGACCGGTGGAGGCGGCCAAAACTCTGGACGTATTTTGAGCTCCAGAGTCGTTAAATGGGACTCGAACCGAACGTGTGACCCCACCAATGGACTGCTCTCCAGAAGAGGAATCCATTGGTGGGGTCACACGTTCGGTTCGAGTCCTGTTTAGCGACTCTGGAGCTCAAACCGCGTCTGGCGTTTTGGCCGCCGGCGCCGGCATGTCCAACTGTGGCTTGCGCCCTCCTCCACGCCCCGCCCTCCGCCCCATGGCTCGAGGGTCGCTTCGACCCGCAGAGACAGGGCGGTCAACCACGCCTGGCAAAAATTCTTTTTTTTTTTTTTCAGAGGTTGGCAGGGCTGGCGACAACGACGCATGTGTAATTCATGAGGGAGCGAGTGTCGCCAACGCAAAACTCGGCCTTTTGACAGTGGCGGCACTGCAAGCCACAATTATTTGCTTCGCGAAATGACCTCTCGAGGCAAACTTTGCGCCGCCCGGCTGTTTTTAATTATTCGCCTCTGGAAGAGCACTGGCCGCTCAAACGAGTGTCGTCTGAAAACTAAACGCGCAGAGGAGCCGCAGGGAAAAGCGAAGTGCGCTCCCGCGCTGCTGCTGGTTTTGAAAACAAAGCCCTACCGGGATTCGAACCCGAGCCGCACGGTTGCCAACCACGCTGAGCTAATCCAGGCCGACAATGAGGACCGTGGACAGTGGATCTGCTCTGGATCGCGCAAAAGCCTGTGGGGGATTTAATTTTATTTCAAGTTTTTTTTATGGTGTCTTGTACAACAATTGTCCTTGGATGCCACAGTAAAACATGAAACAACATAACAGGTGGTGCGGGCAGGTTGAGGCGCCTACCAGCGCGGCCACCCGGACGCGCAGTCGCGCAGCGGGCCAGAAGACCGGCCGAGGCGGCCAAAAGTGTAGACGCGTCTTGAGCTCCAGAGTCGCTAAACAGGACTCAAACTGAACGTGTGACCCCACCAACGGATCCCTCGTTCGGAGAGCAATCCATTGGTGGAGTCACACGTTCGGTTCGAGTCCCATTCAGCGACTCTCTCAAAACGTGTCTAGAGTTTTGGCCTCCTGCGCAGGTCTTCTGGCCCATTGTGGACCTGTCCCCACCGTACGGCCCCTGTAGTCGTCTGAGCCTCAGAGTACTTACAGTGGAGTCTGTTTGCAGCATGGATGACGAGGACTCGGACACGCCACTGATGGCCGCCTTAGACTTGGCTTGGTGAGTTCCACGGCACTCACTCACTCACTCACTCACTCACTCACTCACTCACTCACTCACTCACTCACTCACTCACTCACTCACTCACTCACTGCGCAAACTTAACTTTAAAAAATCGAGAGTTTTGGTGTATATATCTTGTAAACAGCCAGGATTGAAAAGTTCCGCATCAAATTTTGTTTCAAATTTTCAATTGAAAGCCATTTTATGCAGAACTTTTTGAACGCCGGGCGTTTGCGAAATAAATCATCGGAAATCACAAACAATGTTAAGTTTGCCCATGCGGACCAAACACGTCCCCCCAGCTTCCATGTGTAGATCCTTGTCGCTAGGCTTCGACCATGAGAGGGTTTGCAAGGGGAGGGGAGTGTCAGCACCTTGTTCTGCACTTCTCGTGGCCACTCTTAGTCCGACCTGTTACACAACGTAAACTCTGATTTTGTTTTTTGTTTTTGTGTTTTTGTTTCACTGGAAACGGGACTGCGGGCAACACTGCAGCGGCATGCAATGCATGCGACCATGGCGGGGATGTACACATTTTGTGTCTCGTTCAGACGCGCTTCGCGTGAAACTGAAAAAGAAATGAGGCCTTTATTCCTTTTGAATAATTGAGCTCGTCTTCGCCTGACGTGAAGCGACTCCGACGCTAATGTTGAAATCCTCAAGTCCGAAATGGCAAGGCTGTGGGGCACTGCCTTCGAGCACACACCAGCCAGCACATAGCGGCACACGACCAAAGCCACAGGACAATCCCCACAGAAAGCACAGGAAAGCGACACCGTGTTATGTGTACCCGTCCAGAACACTTACTTGTTGATGCCATACACCCATCTCCCCCAGTGTGCTAGTACCCGCACCACGAAGACGGCGGCACTGTGTGCTTAGAGTGACGCTGCGCCAGGTAGACTTGAGTGTCGCGCCGACGGGCTGTTGTTGCTAGAGGGACCGTCCCTTAGTCGTTCACCTGTATTTTATGTGTGTGTGTGTGCGCTTTTTGTCCATAGTTGTAAAGTGTAATTTGAAATCCAATGTAAGAAAAAAAGCGAAAGCAAAGTAAAAAGAACTCTGCAAACTCAACAGTGTACTCAGGACACCCTCTTAAGAGTGTACTCAGTACACTCCCTTTAGCGTGCACTCACGAGTACACTGCCTCAAACGTATGGGAACTAACGTAAGGTGTGTACTGATCTCAGCACACTTTCGTTGGAGTGTACTCAGCTGAGCACACTCTCACTAAGTGAAATAAAACAAAGTGAAAAAAAATAAAACAAAGTAAAGAAAAGCAAAGTAAGAATAACAAGAAAAAAATCATAAGAAAACAAGAAAGCTAAGTAAAAAACAAAAAAAAGCAAAGTTTAAAAAAAGCAGAAAAACTAAAAAAAAGCAAACTATTAAAAAGCAGAAAAACTAGTAAAAACAACAATGAAGCAAAGAATGGAAAAAAGGTATTAAAAAACGAATAGCAAAGCTTTTTTCGCAGTGTCTGAGTCCTCGCCCCGCCTGATTGCAGCACCGAGCATATAGGGCCCAACGGCTCGGCGCGGTCCTCGGCCACGTGCTCCTTGGCGTCGTCCAGGGACTCGTCCACCTGCACCGTGCCGTACCGCGTGGTGATGCTGGGCGGCGCCGGCGTCGGCAAGTCCTCGCTGGTGCAGCAGTTCATGACGTCCGAGTACCTGCACGCCTACGACCTGTCGCTCGGTAAGTCCCACACCAGAAGGCCGGCGGAGGCGGCAAAAACTCTGGACGCGTTTTGAGCTCCAGAGTCGCTAAATGGGACTCGAATCGGACGTGTGACCCCACCAATGCATTGCTCTCCGAACGAGGAATCCGTTGGTGGGGTCACATACGTTACAGAGGCCACCCCTCTGACTCATTTGCGATTACATAACATTCTGGGTTCAAGATGAAAACTTGGGCCCGGCGCGCTCGATGCAAAACTTGCATTATAAATGAAAGCGTCAGCGGCGCGGTCTCCTCGCCGGACCTGTTGTCAAAACTGCGTCCTGTTTATCCTCCCGCTAGGCGCTTGATGTAGGCAGGGGCGCCATACTAGTTGCCGCTCATTTAAATTTCGATGGTGGATCACAGAACTCGCGCCCTTCCGAGGGCCTTGGCAGCCCTATTCACTTACCGTCTCAAAGGGCGCGTGCCGCTTCGCCCGAAGGGACGGAAGGGACGCTCCTTCTCTCTCTCTCTCTCTCTCTCTCTCTCTCTCTCTCTCTCTCTCTCTCTCTCTCTCTCTCTCTCTCTCTCTCCCTCTCTCTCTCCCCCCTCTCTCCCCCTCTCTCCCTTTCCATGAGCCCTTCCAGGAGAATTGATGTCAGACGCCGTCCAGATTCCCTCAACTAACCGCTGCTACTTGCTTCCCGGGAATGTCCTTCCCAGGGGGTCCTCGGTTCGAATACTTGATGTAGTCGCTTTTCATCTCAGTTTGCTAGAGAGCCCCGTCGCCCTCGGCTAGGTTGCGCTTCATGATCTCGGTCATGGCCACCTCGTCATGATGCTCGTCACAGCCTGGGTTAACATGGCCACCTTACGATTGGCACTCCCTAAGATCTTTGTGGTCATCCTAGACTCTTGTCCTCGTCATGGCCACCCTAGGCCTTTGTCGCGGCCATCCCACTCACCGTCATGGCCACCCTATGCTGCCGCGCCTGGCACGCTATCTCTCTTCCATTCCCTCTGCAGTGCTCATCATTCGGCTCCCCCTCTCCCCTGTCCTTGCCGTCATCTAAACATAGCGTCCTCGTCCCCCAGGAGATCAGTCTGGTGGAAGCGATAGGCCCTGTGCCGCCCTGTGCAGGTGGGCTCGGCGTGGCGGCAGCGCGGCCTCATGGCGCGTCCTACAGCCTCTCCCTTTGTCGAGCCCCCGCCCCCTTCCCCCCTCTCCCTCCTCCCCTTCCCCCTTGACCTGGCGGAGGCCGTCATTAACGACACTGCTCGTTAAGTTTTGTGATACGGCCGCCAGGGCGCGCACGCGTCGCAGCTGCCAAGCACTGCCGGGACACTGCCAGGGCACGGCCAGGGCACTGCCTGCCGGGGAGGCCAGGCAATTCGTGTTTACTGTCGCTATGCTGCTGCTGCTGCTGGTCCTCAAGACCCCGGCGCAAGTGCATTGAAAAAATAACGTAGAAAAAAAACACTCAGAAAAAAATTATACAGAAAAAAATCACCCAAAAAAAAATTGAAACAAAAAAAAATGAAACAAAAAAAAATCACAGAAAAAAATTTACACAAAAAAATACACGGAGAAAAAAATTTTCACAAAAAAAACATTCCCTCTAAAAAAAAGAAACACAGAAAAATCACACAACAAAAACACTCAGTAAAACGACACAAGGAAAAAAGAACACTCAGAAAAAAATACAGAAAAATCGCACACCAAAAAAATTGAAATACTTTGAGTGCCGAAAAACGAGGCGGAGCTTTTGAAAAAAGGTCTCGCAGCAGTCACCGCGCCCAGGCAGCTGCCGTCCCCCCTTCCTGAAGCATGAACCCTTAATGTGGTCGGCGTACCGCAAGTCCTCCCCGGAGCCGTGTACATTCTGCGTTTGCGACCCCACGAGGGGCTCACCGGGGGGGCACCGGGGGGCATGCGGAAACTGCGAGACCAATTTTCAGCGCCCCCCTTTTCCTCCTTGTCCGACGCGACGTGCGGATAACCTGCCACAAGGTAGTGGAAACGCTTAGTGCCTGGTCATAAAAAATTTAAAGTGAAAAAAAACACAAAAAAACGTCAGGCAGTTAAGGTATGGTCCCTGAAGAAAAAAACCACACCGCCGACCTGAAATTAAGGAACGACCCCTTTTCTGTCCAGAGCACCGCGCCGGGGCTGAATTACACATGTGTCGAAACGCCGCCGCCTCGCGACCGCGAGCAAAGAATGAAGAGAGAGAGAGAGAGAGAGAGAGAGAGAGAGAGAGAGAGAGAGAGAGAGAGAGAGAGAGAGAGAGAATGTGGGGCCACGTGACTCTCGGAGCATGGACGGGAGCGGAAGGCCTTGGGAAAGTGCAAAATGAAACACAGTCTGTCCTGGGTCGCTGCTGAGACACTGAGACGCTGGTGGAAGACTCGATGCCAGCCTGCACACTGTTTCCGAGAATCCTTAATTTCATCGCCCTGTCTCTCTTGCACCTATACGAGGCGCCGCATGAGTGCGAGAGAGACAGAGTGACGAAGACGACTCTGGGAATGAGTCTGCTGGAGCCCCGTGGAGTCTGGAGGACAACGAGTGGCTCGCCGGCCCGCCTCCCACATTCCTCACGCGCCTGCACGTTCAAGTTGCCACATTGTTCCTGCTTGTCATTAATTTTGCACTGCATTCTTCAGAGCCTGTCCGAGCTCGCCTTGAGACGTCCACTGTCAGAAAACGGGAATCGCTGAATAAGTAGCCGTTTTTGCTGACTTCGGAAGGTCCAGTCTAGCTGCCGTCCAAGGCCTGCCTTAACGCGCTAGTGTTCTGAAGGTCCTGCCCCGCCTCGGGAAGGCTTTGACCGCAGCTACTTCGGCAGCGGTCACCTCACAAAGTTGGTCAAAAGGCGTTTCAATCTACAAAAGTACGATTATTGTGATCATGTCGGATTATGTTGAATATTTCACCTCTAACCTCTTTCGGCATTCACTGATTATGTCAAGTTGGTTACCCCTTATGCAAAAAAAAAAAAAAAGAACAGTACACAATTTCCGTCGTAGGCAGGTATGGACGGTCCAGGCGGTCCAGGCAGCAAATTGTTGACCAGACTTTTTTCGTTTTGGGGGGGCGTGGGGGTGCCTTCCCGGGCTCTGCTCGCGCCGCTCGCGTAGCGCGAAGCCCGCGAAGCGTAGCGCCTCGGAACACGCGAGGCGACCGCGGCGCCATCTATCTGCCGATCAAACAAGCGCGATCGCTGCTCTCTCCACCCTCACGGGCCGCGCCACGGCGAGAGAGCAGAGCGCCTCGCGAGCTGGGCCCTCTGGGACGCACAGGCCCGAATGCGGAAACCCGTGGCCGTCTCTCTCGCACCCCCACAACGGGCGGGGTGCCTCTCGTGTCGCCGTCTCTCTCGCACCCCCACAACGGGCGGGTGCCTCTCGCGTCGCCGTCTCTCTCGCACCCCCACAACGGGCGGGGTGCCTCTCGTGTCGCCGTCTCTCTCGCACCCCCACAACGGGCGGGGTGCCTCTCGTGTCGCCGTCTCTCTCGCACCCCCACAACGGGCGGGGTGCCTCTCGCGTCGCCGTCTCTCTCGCACCCCCACAACGGGCGGGGTGCCTCGTGTCGCTGAATGAAAGTGCAGCCGTATTGCAATTTGTATTCGTATTGCAATTCGATAGAGCGCCCGCCATTCAGAGGGGCGTCGGGTGGATTCTGGAGCTGTCGTCGCTCCGTCTCTCTCGCACTCCCGGGGCGGCCCGCAAGGGTGCGAGAGAGACAGAGCGACGTCTGTGCCGCAATATCGGTGCGCGCGGCAGGCCTGCCCCGACGAAAAGCATAAAAATAATTAAAAAAGTGAACAAGGTCTTCCCTTTTCTATCCGATTGGAAGCGGCGAAATTACAGCCGCGCCAAAATAAGTCGACTTTTTGCTTTTCAAGTTGGCAGCCGCGCTGCCACATCAATCACCCATCCAGCCTTGCAAGATATTTGATGTTTTGTTTTTCAGACCCCTTTCGCCCCCACCCCCCTTTCCCCACAGCGCCCACGCCGCCTGCTTGACGAGTATTGAGCTGTGGCGGCGGAGTTTGCAATGTTTTGTTCGTCTCATCAACCAACCCACCGACCCGCCACCGACCCGCCAGCGGCGCGCAGCGGCGCCAGCCCTCCGAGCCCCCCGAGACGGCGGCGGCGGCGCACAGTGGGCCAGAGGACCGGTGGAGGCGGTCGCGTAACCTCGGACTCGTTTTGAGCTCCAGAGGTCGCTAAATGGGGCTCGAACCGAACGTGTGACCCCACCAATGGATTGCTCTCCGAACGAGGAACCCATTGGTGGGGCCTCACGCTCGGTTCGAGTCCTGTTTAGCGACTCGGGAGCTCAAAACGCGTCTGGGAGTTTCGGCCGCCTCCACCGGTCTTCTGGCCCACTGTCCGGCGCCGTGCTACGACGCCAGCCTGTCGAAACTGCGCGTGTTCGCCACACCGCGCACTGCTCACCATTTTGTCACGTTGTTTACGTGTGTGTAGGTCTGTGTGTGTGTGTGTGTGTGTGTGTGTGTAATTACCAACTTGGCTTCATTAGCAGTCCACGCGGCCGCGCACATAAAACCGTCCAATATTGGCAGCCCTGTGAGTGGCACTGATTATTTGCAGCAAAAAGCGGCCCGCCAAACACGGCAGCGTGCAAATAGTGCGAATAGCGCGCGGCTAAATCGAATTGAACTGCGGATAGTCGGACTCGGGGCGGGGGGCGCTCGGACCGTGCAGAGCGGGTCCAGCGTTGATGATGATTCCCCCAGCGCTTTCATTTCGAGAAATAAACCTCCCGAGTTTTCCGCCCAAATGGAGCGGCCCTGGGCCTGCCCTGGGCCTGCCCTGGGCGTGGCGTGTCATTGGGACCTGTTCGCTTCGAGAGGTCCGGGAATCCCTCCTCCTCCCCTTCTCCCCTCCCCCTCTCCTGCTGGCTATGACGTATAATTAGATTTCTCTCGCCACGAGTTCTGTATCAGTGCCAAGAGCGAATTAGCACTCATTTCAAATCCCGGCATTCACCAATTTTCACCTGTTGTTAATTGCATTTTCAGGTGTAACGATCACAATTCGCCTCTGACGATCACACGCCGAAAGGCGCGTCTCGGTTGTTTCAGCAAACCTTTTTTTCTCTGCCACCTAAAGTCACGTGGCATGTGGATAGAATACAAAACAAGTTTTAAAAAAAATTGGCAGGATTGACCCTTTTTTCGTGTAGATGCAGGCCACTATTGGACATTTTGCGGAGTGCCTTGATTCCGCTTCGCAGTGAAAGCACACACCAGACGGACATGCACACACTGTTGTGGCTGACATGGAGCGCTGCCCTGCGGCGTGGAGAGAGAGAGAGAGAGAGAGAGAGAGACTCCTTTCCAAGCGGCGAGGCTGACCGCCAAAGCCACAGCCAATACTTCTCATAATTCCACCCCCTCCCCTCTGTCAATCTCTCTCTCTCTCACTTTCTCTTGACCGAGTTGTCGTGGAAAATATGGAGGGACCCCCGTTTGATTTTGCATGTTTTTCTCGTCACGTTTATAGTTTCTGGGCCAAGGGCCGCCGTGGCGCCGAGCGTCGCCGGGCAAAAGGTCGGAGGCGCGTTTTTAAAAAGCGGAAAGGCCCACACCTCTGTGTTTTTGTTCCTCGTTGGAGAGCTAGATCGCGCCGCCGCGTCCGTCACCAACAGACTCAACGTCTGTCCCTCTCGCACCTGCGCGGGACGCCGCACGAGAGCGAGAGAGACAGCGCGACGTGTCAACGCCTCTCTCTTTCTGCTTGCAGACGACGAGTGCGGCGAGAAGTCCGTTAGCATCCTGCTCGACGGGGAGGAGTCCGAGCTCACCTTCGTGGACCATCCGTCCTCCGACACCACGGTGAGTCTGCCAAAACAACAGCAACAAAAGGACCAAAACAATGGGACACGCATTGCGCTTGCACTCTTAAAAAGTTAGTCAAAAAAAATCCACGAAAAACTGCGTTTTGAAGTACAGTAGTACCATCGTAACTATCCAGAGGCTTGTTTTTTTTTTTAAGATTATTTTTGTTGTATTCCTACCGGAAGCTCATATATTATATGTAGATCCATGGGAGGTTTTTCGATTGTCCCGAATATGGAAGGCATCGGTTATTTTCGCTACTAGTTTCCTCCGAAAATTGCCAAGGCTTTTTTTGTCTTCTTTTACCAGTGTGATTGCATTCTGACCGCCATGTTGTGCACCTATTATGGGACGATTCTGCCTCTTAATCAGAGATGTGTTTGCCTTTATGCTTGTGTGTGTGTGTGTGTGTGTGTGTGTGTGTGTGTGTGTCGCGTATGGTGTGCGTGTGTGCGTGAGGGGATGTGTGAGTGTGAGGAAGATAAACTATAGCTGAACGAGGCCTGTGATGACGTCATTACTGACCCACAGACAGACAGAGGGAAGGCCGAGCGGGTCTGTGTGCGTGCGTGTGTGCGTGTGTGTGTGTGCGTAGGGCCGAGACGGGCCGCTTGCAACACCCCACGGTCTCAAAAAAGAAGGACGGAAGGGACGCCCGCTCTTTTTTCTGTCTCTGTTTGAGGTGGAAATAGTAATGGCTGCACTTTCCCGAGACGCGTTTCCGTTTCAGGCGGTGCAGGAAAGGGGGGAGGGGGCTCCCCTCTAATCTCAACCACCCTCCCTCCCCCTCCCCTCCCCCACCGCATCTCGAGTGCATTTTTTATGGGCAAGCAGAGCGAAAAAATTTATGTGCGAGTTGAGCGTATGTGGCGCGGCGCCGCACGGTGTGAGTGCGTGCGTATGACACTGGCACCATAACAAGCCGCATTTTCTCTCTCTCTCACTCTCTCTCTCTCTCTTCTCTCTCTCTCTCTCTCTCTCTCTCTCTCTCTCTCTCACACACACAATCACACTTTGCAATTCCTTTCCCTTCGCTCCGCCGCTGCGGCTGGAGTGCACCGGATCACCATTCACTCGAAAAGAGGTTTTTGTTGCAAAACCTGCTTGCCATGCCACCCTTGCCGGCCTGCCTGTCATGCCGGCCGCCCCAGCTGGCGGCGGATCGTATCTCTGTTTATGAAGACATAAACCATGAGTGGTGCAGTTACACGCGCGCAACGGCGGCTGTGCACCAACGCCGGGTACACCACAGTGGGCCGGAAGACTGTTGGAGGCGGTCAAAAAGCTCCGGATGCGTTTTGGGCTCCAGAGTCGCTAAATGGGGCTCGAAGCGAACGTCCGACCCTACCAATGTATTGCTCTCCGAACGAGGAATCCATTGGTGGGGTCACACGTTCGGTTCGAGTCCCATTCAGCGACTTTGGAGCTCAAAACGCGTCTAGAGATTCGGCCGCCTCCACCGGTCTTCTGGCCCACTTGTATGTGCATTCCTCTGGACGATCCGTCACGTTTGGCGTGTGTCTGAAAGGCCTGCGATCGTTTGTGGCCCAGCCGTCAACTGCAATGGCAATAGCTCTGCAGGCCGTCGGGGCGCTGTGTCGCACCGCGGAACGCAGCGGCGTGGCGCATGGCCTATCCTCTGGACAACAGGCTGAAAGCGGCTGACACGGTGCCTTCTTTCTTCTTCTTCTTCTTCTTCTTCTTCTTCTTCTTCTTCTTCTTCTTCTTCTTCTTCTTCTTCTTCTTCTTCTTCTTCTTCTTCTTCTTCTTCTTCTCCTCCTCCTTCTTCTCCTTCTTCCCTGAGGGCCAAGGCGCCGGCGGCCGCTCTGCTGCGCTGCCACCACACTAATAAGCATAGACCGGTGCAAGCTTATTTTCGTTCGCCACCGATTTAGATTTGGAAGCTTTTCTTAAATAACCGACGGCGCTCTATTGTGGGCACCATGCTGGCCTGCTCGCTGCAGCGCGGCGTTCGGCAGCTCTGCGCCGCTCTGCGCCGCTCGGCCGGTCAGTGTCCCATTTCGCCTCCAAACACCGTTTTATTTCTGGCCGGGAATTGATTCGGTTTAAATTTAGCGCGCCCTTTCTCGCGCCCTTGCTGCAGCAGCAGGGCTGAGGGCCGGGCCGCCTGACCGCCTGGCCGCCAGGCCTTCCGGGGCAAAGCCTCCACGCACAGTGGGCCGGAAGCGTTTTGAGCTCCAGAGTCGCTAACTAGCACTCGAATTAGATTGCTCCCCGAACGAGGAATCCATTGGCGGGATCCCGTTTAGCTACTCTGGAGCTCAAAACGCGTCCAGAGTTTTGGCGGCCTCCGCCGGTCTTCTGGCCCACTGTGCTGCGTGTGTCCGCCGGCGTCATGCAGTGCTCTGTCTGTTGCAGCCGCTGAACGAGGGCCAGCCCGAGCCGCACGCGTACTGCGTGGTGTACTCGCAGGCCGACCTGCCCAGCTTCCGGAAGGCCGAGGACGAGCTGCAGCGGCTGTGGACGGGAGGCAGCGTGGGCACCAAGGCCGTCATCCTGGTGGCCAACAAGACGGACCTGGTGCGGGGCCGCACCGTCACGGCGGAGGGTCAGTACCGACTTAACACAGTGGATTGTGGATTTGCCAGAAGGCCGCCGGAGGCGCGGCCAAGACTCTAGACGCGTTTAGAGCTCCAGAGTCGCTAAATGGGACTCGAACCGAACGTGTGACCCCACTAATGGATTCCTCGTTCGAAAAGCAGTCCATTGGTGAGGTCACACGTTCGGTTCGAGTCCCATTCAGCGACTCTGGAGCTCAAAACGCGTTGTTGTCCGCCTCCGGCGGCCCCCTGGTCGGCCTCGCTGACGGCGGCTTTCCTGTTCCGCAGAGGGCAAGGCGGCCGCCACGTCGTACGACTGCAAGTTCATCGAGACGTCGGTGGCCATCAACCACAACGTGGACGAGCTGCTGGTGGGCATCCTGACGCAGATCCGCCTGAAGCTGCAGGACCCGGAGCGCACGCGCAGCATCTTCCGCAAGCGCAGCGCCTCGCGCTCCAAGAGCCGCTCGCGCTCGCCGCTCATCGTGTCCTGCGTCGGGGGGCTCACGTCCACCTGCGTGGGCGCCGGCGAGGACCCCAACGGCAACAACGGCCACCCCGCCGAGCCGCCCCTGTCCCCAGGGCGGGGCTCGGGGCCGCGCTGCCGACGCAACCGCATGTCCGCCAGCCTCAAGGTCAGGGGGCTCCTGGACAAGGTGTGGGCGCGCGACTCCAAGTCCAAGTCCTGCGAGAACCTGCACGTCTTGTAATCAAGGCCCGTTAGGCTGTGTCCCATCTCGGAGACGAATTTGTTGGGCTTCACCGGTAGGAGGAACACCACCATCTCGGAGCAGCCCGGGGAGACGTGGGTGTGACCCATGGTGTGACCCGTTGTGTGACCCATGGTGTGACCCATGGTGTGACCCTCGGTGTGACCTATGGTTTGACCCATGGTGTGACTCATGGTGTGACCCATGGTGTGACCCCTGGTGTGACCCAAGGTGTGACCCTTGGTGTGACCCTCGGTGTGACCCATGGTGTGACCCAAGGTGTTACCCAAGGTGTGACCCTTGGTGTGACCCATGGTGTGACCCATGGTGTGGCCCAAGGTGTGACCCGTGGTGTGAGCCATGGTCGTGGGGTGTCACGCGCACCAGCAGAAACATTGGCGTTGCTTGGGTGCTGGTGCCCTGCCATGAATGGGTTATGGCGAACTCCGCCACGCGAACCATTTCCAGCATTTTCAGGGGGTGGGCAGGGCTGCCGGTGATTCACGCTCAAGAAATTCGTGTGCCCTTGGCACTCGCCTGGGACGGCATTCAAAGGTTCAATTTCGAGGATTTTCTTCTCTTTTAGTCTCATTGAACGGTCGGTGTCCGTCCCAAAAGGCTCTTTGACAGGCACTTGCGATCCTGCGAGGAGCGTCCTTTTGCTAATCTTTCTTCTAAATTTCTTGTTGACTTTTTTCGCAGCAAGTGTACTGTGGGTGCTTAGCCAAGGCTCTGAGATGGGATACAGCCTAATAGGTACGGATTCGCAGTTACCTTATCTTTCTCCCTATTCCATTTTTGTTCAAAATGTTAGTTTTTTTTACTTTTTACTGAGTTGTGCCTATTTCTTCTGGAGGACAAACCCAATTTCTTCCGTTATCCTAGGGCAGAGTAAGTAATCGGCTGGTTCAGGCGTAAAAAGTAGCACCCAAAACCTTGTTCCGCGTACAGGTGAGACATTGAATACTCGTAGACGACGTCGGGTAGGTGGTCAAACAATTATCTAACTAACGATACCGTAGAATTTGATAAAATAGGCTCCGTTGTTTTAGCAGTTTCTAAAATATTGTGGGCGGGTAGCATCATCTTGAGGACGAAATTTTAAAATAGCGCGGACTCCGCGCCAGTAGAGTGTGTGTGAGTATGTGTGTGTCTGTGTGTGTGTGGTGTGTGTGTGTGTGTGTGTGTGTGTGTGTGTGTGTGTTTGGGTAGCGGGTCAGGTGGATAATTAAAACACAAAATGACCAAAGATGAAAAGAGTTTGCTTGTTTCATTCTGCGGTTGCATGCAGCGAATGCTTTCTATGCATTCGCGCTGGGCCGTGCATTCTGATGAGCTCCACTCTAACGTCCCAGCCAAAAGTTGGTGGTTTGTGATTAGTGCTGGGGGTAGTCGGAGTGGCAGGTGGCTTCCCCCGCCAGCGCCTCTTCCGGCGACCTCGGCCCACTTCCGGGAAACCGCCGAAAGCACTTCCCCGATTTCCAATTTCTGCCCTGGGATAACTATTCGTTTCGCAATACCGGGTGCCATTGGTTTTACAATTGGCGCGGATTTGCGAAGTCGGATTATAATCATCAAGATTTCCAAAGTACTATATCAACGGTAGTGTTTCGTAGGTTATTTTTTTACGTGGATTAAGAGTATTTTGATGCAGAGAATTCCTAAAACTCCATTGTACGAGTAAAATTTCATTCAGTATTGTTAACACTAAGAGTTCGTGTAGATGTAGGGTTTAACTTTTCCCTCGAGACTCGCTTGCACTCCCAAACGTATGAAACAAGTTGGTTTTTATCCTAGTGCATTTTACATTTTTAAAGATAATAATAATTGTTCTGTTGAACAAAAGAAATGATTATTTACGTTGTCCAAATTATCAATTTTTGACAAGTTAAATGTAGTAGATTAGTTCACGATTCGAATAATAGGTGTGAATTTCTGATGTTTGATACTAATATATATTTATGACATTAAATCAAAAATTGTATTCAAACTTTAGAGCTAGACGTTTTATTCCGTGGTCCAAGGTCACGATATCGGGAGTGAAACAGACAAGTCGAAATATTCGAAAGGATAAGGGCTGTAACGTGTGTAGGAGCCACTGTGCACTTTGAATCATCATATTTTTGTGACTTTTTATCAAAATTGCACGTGTACTGATTTCATGAAAATTTCAGCACTTTTATTCACTTAAAACTAAATTTTACCTTTATTTCTTTCAAAATTCCAAACTTTTTTGAGAGACTTATCGAGATTTGATTTCACTGTTTTGGGTATAATGTGCTAGAAAGTATTGTTTCCGCCAGGTCTGCAATTTCCGTGACCTTGCAGATACTGGCGCATTTTTGTTCTAAATGTGTAGGTTTGAGAAAAATCCCTTTGAAACGAATACGCTAATCAATGTGATATATTTGTTTCGAGCTGTTTCGACACAAGACCAAGTGCGGTATCTCTCTTGTGAGATGGCGTATGTTGTGTTCTCGATTCAGCTTAATGTATAGATTTGTGCTATTAGTAGACCCCCTGTAGATATGAGTGAATGTCTGTGTATTAATTAAGAGTTTATCTTTGTTCATAATTATTCTTTATTCTTTGGATTTAGAGTTAATTTTAGACGTGGTGAGAGGTGTTCATGGACACACTACTTCATAATGTTTGTCTGAGATGCAAGAGATGACAACGAACGACTGAAGGAGGCTTTTATGTGGGTGACACATTACTCAATGAGTCAATCCTTTTTAATGTACAGTAAAATAGAGTTTATTCCAATGATATCTTATTCACATTACTCTTTTTGTCGATCGCTACCACACGCAATGTTGTTGTGGCTTTTGAACTGATTCATTTCATAGTTGTCGATGTCACACGTTTTGCAGTGTAGACATCGCCCGTAAATTTGTCGATGTTTCCAGCGTGGCCCACACCCGTTGACAGTTCAAGGTGTTCCATGCGTACTTGCACACATATCTTTCTGCCGTTCGTTTTTCTTCTACAATCTCTTTTGCTCCGTTTCCCCTTCAACGTTTGGTGCCAAAGAAACTCACCCTAAGGCCAAATTACTTCTCTAACTTGCTTTCGGCCTGGCCAGGCCAGGAATCGTCTGCCTTGCTAGGTGCTTGTGCGTATAGTGATGTGCTGTTCGCCCGAGACCTTCTTGGTCGTATTCATAGGAATTTTCGCGGTGGACTTCCTCATCCCTATTTCAGCTCTTTGTTTCTCGATTAGTTTTGTGGTTCATTCAGTCGTTTGATTGATAATACAACTCGTATTATCTATGTTCGGACATTCCGGGTAAATTGAACAATAAAGCAATGCTTTATTGTCGCTCTAGATGCAATGCTCAGACTACGATGCGATGGTCTGATGCTGCGCAAAACCATGTAGTTCACGTGTTTCTTTATTTCTTAAGTATTTGGCCGATATTAAAATAGCGCGGAAGAGGATGCGAACGACGAACTGTTTTACTTTTATTTTCTTTAATGGGGGCTGGATGTTGGGTCCATTAATATAGCGTTCAATTATCACCCCTCTGTGGGAATGAACTGTAAATTATTATCCTAGAATCAGGTGTGGAAGGACCAATTAAATTCATTCGTTGTTTCTTAGAATATTTGGCGCATCCTGTGGCACATTGTGCTTTGAGTAGAGAGAAAGGATTTCATTCTGCTTCCCTGACCCGAACTGAAAGCTACTATGTTTAAAAAAAAAACGCGTTCACCCATTTTACAGTGTACAAGTAAAGTTTCCATTTGAATGTAAACCTTTATTGTAGACCTCATGGTAAGAAGACTCTTTCACTCTTTTTATCAGCACGACGTATGAAATGATTTTCAACGCACATGATTTCAGCTAAGAAAATCACCTCTTTTCAACAGTGCCCAGTTTTTGTCTTTTTGTCCTGACAGCAGCCTACAAATCAAAACGTTTTGTAACATTGCCTGTGTGAAGAACTTCTGACTTTGACCGCTGTTAAAGTGCAGTTTTATTGATTACTTGCCTTGTACGTGTTAGATATTTTTTCGTATTTCGGGAAACTGTGTTTCCTTGTGAGATTGGAACCCTGTTTTATAAAGCTATCCTGTATAGTATATTCAAATAAATTCGTGTAAATAACGTTATTTTATTGCGTTATTCATTTTTACTTTTCAAACTGCACAGACAGAAACCACAACTCGATGCTTGTTATAACAATTTATTGTTTGTTTCTTTTTAAGAAAATGCACATAAAATTACAGAGACACTCGAGTACAGGACTTCAAAATATCGAAACAAAACAAAGTGTTGAGCTAAATCGTATACGAATCTCAAAACTTTAAACCATAATAAATGACTCAATACAAAACGACAACTTGGACACCAAGGTGCCCTTACAATGTTGACCAGGGAAAACACAGGTGGGCAACACAAACCATTTAAACATGGATTACGTTCGCTAATACCCTCAAGTATAACAAATATCAGTCGTCCCCGTGTGACTTTGGTCCACATTAAGGCCGTTGTTCACACACGCACGCGCGCGCGCGCACACACACACACGCACTCTCACACACTTCTCTCGCATGCACGCACACACTGTTGGTCCACACAAATCAGTCAGCTGAGCTAGATAAGTGTTTTCCGCTAGAATTAAGCCTCCGCAGCCCGCGGGGACCGGGCGCAGAGGCAGATCACAGTCAGGGTAATATTTAACAAAAAAAATCACTTGGCGAATACATATTTCCAGAAGCGTTTCAGTCAGGACGATGGGCCGTTGGGCCGGGGCGCGCCTCGCGAGCTGCCACCACCACCACGCGCGGGGTGATGGAACGAACTCCAAAGTCAAGTCCAAGTCGCGGAGCGCGAGATGCGAGTTATCACAGGACGTGCAGCTTCTCGCAGCTCTTGGCCTTGGAGTCGCGCGCCAGCACCTTGTCCAGGAGGCTCTTCATCCTGAAGGAGGCGGACGTCTTGGAGCCGCGGTACAACTTCCTGGGCACGGCCTGCTCGGGTCCGCGCGTGCTGGCCCTGGACATGACGTCGGTGGGCTCCAGGTTGGCGGCGTCGCCGAGCGCCAGCTTGCCCAGCGACTTCCGCCGCGAGAAGCTCCGCTTCCTGAAGATGCTGCGCGACTTCTCGGGGTCCTTGAGCTTGAGCCGGATCTGGGTGAGCAGCCCCACCAGCAGCTCATCCACGTTGTGGTTGATGGCCACGGAGGTCTCGATGTACTTGCAGTCGTACTGCGTGGCGGCTGCCTTGGCCTCCTCGGTGGACACGGTGCGGCCGCGCACCAGGTCCGTCTTGTTGGCCACCAGGATCACGGCCTTGGTGCCCACCGTCTCCGACTGCCAGAGCCGCTCCAGGGCCTGCAGCGCCAGGCGGAAGCTGCCGCGGTCCGTGGCCGCGAACACCACGCAGAAGGCGTGCGGCTCGGACTCGTAGTCGCTCTGCGGGCAGGAAGGACGCCGTCAAGCACACCGCAAAACGGACAGACAGGGCACGGGGGTTTGAACCCGGGCACTTACAGTGACGTCAGCGTCGTGCTGCTCGAGGAACGACAGCTCGGACTCCTCGCCGTCCAGGAGGACGTTGACGGACCGCTCCAGGGCGTCTTCATCTGCAAAAGGCGAGGGGTTACAGTCAGAGAAGGAAAGTGGGAAAACCGCTGCCGTCGGGATTCGAACTCAGGACTCACCAGGCGAGGCGCAGTAGGCGTGGAGGAAGTCAGAGGTGCTGAACTGCTGGACGAGGGACGATTTGCCCACGCCCTGGGCGCCCAGGATGACCACGTGGTAGCGGTGGGGGTCCGCCAGCGGGACGCGGGTGTCGATGATCTTGGTGGGGCTGCGCGACCGCTCAGCCGGGCTGCAAAAACCATCAACCCGTTTAGAGAGAGGACGTTGAAGAAGGGATTGTGGCGCATAGTGGGTCAGGAGACCGGTGGAGGCGGTCGAAATCCCGGACGCGTTTGGAGCTCCAGAGTAGCTTAATTGGACTCGAACCGAATGTGTGACCCCACCAATGGATTCCCCGTTCGTAGAGCAAAGCCATTCCGCCTCCACCGGTCTTCTGGCCCACTGTGTCGGGGTCGGGCCTCACCTGGGGCAGTCGTTGCTGTCGGCGCTGGAGCGGCGGCTCTTGACGGAGTCGCCGCGGTTCACCACGCCCTTGCCGGTGATGGCGAAGTTCCTCAGCAGGTAGACGTCGCCGGCGCGGGCGTCGTCCTCGTCGTCCGAGGACGACGACGGGAACATGTAGTAGCCGGCCAGGCCGGCGCGGCTGCCGCGGCTATGCGACCGCGGGCGGGGCCTTGCGCGGCGAGGGCGTGCGCGGGCGTGCGCGCTGGCGGACGTCATGGAGCAGTCCGAGGGGCTGCGCACGGGCGTGCGCATGGAGCGCGCGCGGTGCACGCTGGGCGGCGCCGCGTGGCACGGGCTGGGGGACACGCTGCTGCTCCTGCAACCAGAGAGAGACGGAGAGAGGGTCAGACTCGCTCTCTTTGACAGCTGCCGCCGGCTGCATAGCGCACGGCCACCAGGCCGCACAGTGGGCCAGAAGACCGGTGAAGGCGGCCAAAACTCCAGACGCGGTTTGCGCTCCTGAGTCGCTAAATGGGACGCGAACCTAACGTGTGACACTACCAATGGATTGCTCTCCGAACGAGGACTCCATTGGTGGGGTCACACGTTCGGTTCGAGTCCCATTTAGAGTCTCTGGAGCTCAAAACGCGTCTAGAGTTTCGGCCGCCTCCGCCGCTCTTCTGGCCCACTGTGGACCGTCAGGCAGGCCGTCATGCCACCACCGGTCATCACGAGGGGCACTTCCACGCGCTGCGGCGGGCTCTGTCTCTCTCGCACTCGTGGTGCGGGCCGCCGCGGCGCGAGAGAGACAGAGCCTTCGGGACCAGCCCGCGGCACATTATTCAGAAGCACGGCCGGAGTGCACCGCCACAGCCACATTCAGCAGAACACGCACGCCCACCCGTCAAAACCCTAAACCGCGGACCGTTGCATTCAGCAGAACCCGGCCAAACCCGCCGAACCGCGGGTCGGAGGCACGGCCCTCAATTAGTCCGCACTGCCATCAACACAGTCCATCCGAGTGGAAATACGGAGCCGAAATTAAATCGCGCGACCTTGGCTGCGCGCTGTCCGGCTCAGCACGCTCCGCACGATCCGCGCACGCCACCTGAGCGTGCTGGCCGGGCCGTGCCGGGCCGGCTCCGTCCTCCTCGCACCCTCGCGGAGAGCCGCCCGAGTGCGAGAGGGACGGAGCGATGCCGGCCGCACAGCGCGCACAGCAACCAGCAGCAGCAGCAGTCCAAAGCCGCCGTGTTTATTCCGACCATCTAAATGTGTTTGCCGCCGCGCCGCCGGGCCGGGCCTCTAGGCCGGGCCGGCCGCAGCCACACCGAGCTTCCAATGCCCTCTTCAACATTTACGTCCGAAAGCAAAGCCCCTCCCCTCCTCCCCTTTCAATGCCTTTTCATTTCTTCGTCCGTAATCCTCGATTGGCGCCATAAGCCCTGTCCAGCAGACTGATTCCGAAAGTTGTTCTCGTCGCTCTGTCTCCCTCGCACCTACACGGGACGCCCCGGGAGGGCGAGAGGGACAGAGCGACGAAAACGACTCTCGGAATCAGTCTGCAGCGTTTTCGTGTCACACTGCTGGCACTTGAAAGGGGGAGGGGAGGGGGAAGTTCCGAGCCGTTCCAGCAGGCTTCGCCCGCTTTGCCCGCTTCGCCCGCTTCGCCTCGCCTGCCTGCAACCTCACCCCAATAATAACGTTTGCCCAGAGCCGCGGTGCCGCGTTTGTCGGTGGATTTCCTTGACGGCACAGTCAGCCGCAATGTCGTGTTTTTCTCGCCCACCCCCCGGCGCCGGCTTCAAATACTGGCAGCAGCTACCGTTTTTTGTTTTTCTTCTAGTGCCGTTTCACATATTTTAATTTTCTTGTGTTGGCTGCATGGACTGTGTTTGTTTTTGTTGCGTACCGTGCGTGTTTCTCTTGGGTCGCTTGTTTCGTGTTTTGACTGATACCTACAAATTTGAGAACTACAGGACAGGGAAATCGTGAACCAAATTGACTGATGAGGACGCGACAGTGCATCACGTATGTTGACACGCCTAAAAACCATGAAAATATCTGTTTTTAGTGGGGCCGACCAACCTCCCATGGACAGGTCCTACTGCCCCCCTGGAATCTTCACAGTGGAGATGAGAGGAGGGACTCCAAATAGTGCTTTGTAATCTCAAGACTGGACTTTTGGCCTCACATTAGTGTTTATTTATTTTTTGAACAATGATAAGAATTAAGTTTTGGAGCAAAATCAAGTGATGACTGCCGTTCGTTGACAAGAATATTCTGTTTGTTAACTGGTCTTGAGATGAGCTGTCCCCATCCTTGGTTGGATGAAGTCATCTCAGCATCACAAAGTATTGACAAGGTATGTGTTATTTATTTAAGCAAGATGGACAGTGTGTAAATTTATTATAAGCTGACCAAGTTCAGCGTAGGCCAATTTAATTTTGGTCAAACCTTCAAAGCGTGAACTGAAGTGTTGCTCGGATTGGGATTTCACTGTAGTGGCTTGGCTTATAACTCTGGTCAAATTTTAGGGATACTTTGTAGTCTCACCTCTGTTTGAGCGATACAAACCTGTCTCACCAGAAAGATGACGACACAAAATTGTCTCGCCTCTTCTTGGGTGATACAAACCTGTCACGCTCAAAAATGGCAAACAAACAAAAAAAAAAACTCAAATTTTGTGATGTCCCGCCAGCTGAGTTTCAACATTTTCTTTCTCTCTCTGCTGGGCCAAGGTGTTTGGCACCAATATAGTCATAAAAAGAAACTCACGATGGTTTATTGCGATCGACGCAGTAAATGAAATGAAGCGGAGTGACGATAAAGGCGATAAAGAGGGACGACAGAGAACGAGCACGCAATTAAACTGCAGTCGGAGGCTGGCTGCTTGTCAATCTGGTGACCCCGCCCCGCCCCGCCCCGCCCCGCCCCGCCCTGTGTCGGCTCGCTTGTTTTCCCGCCGTCCACAGTGCAGAGGGGGCAAAGGGGGATGGCCCCAGCAGACTGATTCCGAGAGTCGTCGCTCTGTCTCTCTCGCTCTCATGGGGCGTCCCGTGTAGGTGCGAGAGAGACAGACTCTCGGAATGGGTCTGCAGGCCCCCGGGGCCGCGCAGTGATTCGTCACGTCCGAAACAAAACGGGCGCCGAGAAAAAAGGCGGCAGGACGACGTTCCGGCCGTTCGGGCTTCGGGCGCAAGGCGCAAGGCGCGCCAGCGGACTGGTTCCGAGAGTCGTGGCTCTGTCTCTCTCGCTCTCATGCGGCGTGCCGTGTAGGTGCGAGAGAGACAGAGTGGCGGAGACGACTCTGAGTCCGCGGCAGCAGGAGTTACACGAGGCAGACACCGCGGCGTCGCCCCTGCAGACTGCTTCCGAACCGCGTCGCCCGCGTCGCCCTCGTCGCCTCGCACTGTCTCTCTCTGTCGCGCTCTCGTGGCTGCCCGTAGGCTGCCCCCAGGGTGCGAGAGAGACGGAGCGAGCGGGCTGGGCGTGCTGGGCCCCTGGGGCCGCGCCGCGCTGAGGGCTGAGGGATGCTCGAGGCCGGGGGGCGTAAGGGGGCCGGGGGGCCCTGCCCGTGTCACAGCCCTACGCCCTTCGCCTCGCCACTGGTTTAAAACAATTAATGTTTCCCCGGCCCGTGCCAGGTCCTCGCTCACTCACGGCCACGCATTCTCTCTCTCTCCTCTCCCTCTCTCTCTCTCTCTCTCTCTCTCTCTCTCTCTCTCTCTCTCTCTCTCTCTCTCTCTCTCTCTCTCTCTCACTCACGCCTTAGGCCGCACCCTGCACGGTGAGTTGCTCACCCCATAAATTGAAGCCCTTAATTTCCCGGCTTTCCGAGTTTAGTTTTATGATCTAATCAGGCCGGCGTGCGCGTCCGCGGGCGTGGCGGGGCGGGGCGTGGCGGGGCGGGCACGGCGGAGGCGTCACTGCCTGGGACGATGAATATTCAATTTGTTCATTTTTTATGATTTCCCCCTCCCCCTCTTTCCATTCTTTCCCATTTCCTTTCATACCTTTGCAAAACTTTGTTCGCGCCTCTGCCGGCGAGAGTTACACCCCTAGGACAAGGAGCCCGACCGGTCGGGCACTACTTAGAGGCTCCTCGGGAAGGGGGGGCGCAGGTAAGCCCGACTTCGTGTGTGTGTGTGTGTGTGTGTGCGCGTATGTATGTGTTGTTTGTAATGAATTTACGTATTTATGTTGGGAATGTTCTCTGTATGTCTTTGTGTGTGTGTTTGTATGTCTTTGATTTCGTGACTGTGTGTGTGTTTGTGTGTGTGCGTGCGTGTGTGTGCGCGTGTCACAGGGGGTCAGCAAACCCCGGCGGCCCGTCGTTGCCCTTGGTTCGTCGCCGAGGTTTCCGCGTAAATTTTGGTTGCACACTTACGGTGGTGGCGCCGCGTCGCGTCGCGTCCCGAGCGGCGGAGTGACGCCCTTGCAAAATGGAAAATATATGGGCACTATATGGACAAAATATATGACCCAACATGTATTGACGTCATATGTGGAAAAGATAATTTAGCAAGATACTTTTCCGATATAAAAAATATGTGGCAAATATATGAATTTCATACATTGCTCTATATGTAGGCAATATATAGTGTAAATACACCATGGAGTCTGACGACTCAGAGACTTCCATTACTATATTAAAAGAATGTAAACTGCGCCTAGCGAGGACACTCAAGTCTTGTCCTACCGTGGTCGCCTAGAAGAACTTTTCGCGCTACACCCAAATAAGACGTTTAAAATTTCCAAACTGTTTCCAGTTAATTTTAAACGTTTCTAAAACTTTTTCGGGCCTACGGAGGAGTAACCCCTAGACATGGCTCAATGGCGGACTACTTAGAGGCTCCACGGATGTGGGCAGAAGCCCCTTTCATGTGTGCAAGATTGTAAGAAGTTACTTAAATGTCTGCCTTTAATGCATTTACGTTTATGTGGGAATGTTCTTTGTATCTTTGTGTGTAGTATTAGTATGTCTTTGATTTCGTAGGGTTACTGGGGCGTGCGAGTGTGCCCCAATGTCACACGTGTCAGCAAACTCGGCAGTCTTCGTTACCATTGGTTCGTGCCGAGTTCCGTAAATTTTGGTTGCATACTTACGGTGTGTGCCGCGTCTTTCGTCCCGAGCGGCGGAGTGGCGGCTGAAGTGACATAATAAACCAGCCGCAACGAGCCGCGAGGAGCGCGAGACAAGACAGCGCCGGGGCGGGGCGGGGCGGGGCGGGGCGCTCTCGCGGAAGACGTGGAAGACGGCCCCGGCGGGAACGAGTCCTGACTGCCAGAATGGAAGGTTCCGAACGCGCTCGCTGCGTTTACGAGCCGAAAGTAAGGAGTCAGGATCCATCCTTTCTCTCCCCCTCTCGCTCTCGTCAATTGTTTTTACTGCACTTTTTCTCTCCGTTCGTCCGTTTGCCAGTGCTTGCTTGCTTGCCATTGCTTGCTTCGGAAGCCAGCCAGCCGCCCTGCCGGGCTGTCGTGCCGAGACCCCGCGCTCGGTAAGCCTTCAGTTATACCAAAGGAAGGGGTGTATATTTACACGGACCGCGGGGCGCCCGAAGGATCTCTGGGATCAGGACGCACCGGTAGTGAATAGGGATCTCCTCTGTGCCCCCTCCCTCTTCCCCGGGGTGAGGCCCCGGTCGGCTGCACCCTCGCTCGCGTCTAGGATGGCTTTTCTGGTCAACCATCCCACTCGTCCAGGTCTCCGACCCCGCAGCGTCGCGGCGTTGTTTCAGCTGCAGACCGATTCCGAGAGTCGTTCTCTCTGTCTCTCTCGCACCCAAGCGGGACGCCCACGAGTGCGAGAGAGACAGAGGCGGTGCACAGTGGGCCAGACGACCAGTGGAGGCGGTCGAAAGTCCAGGCGCGTTTTGAGCTCCAAAGTCGCTAAATGAGACTCGAACCGAACGTGTGACCTCACCAATGGGTTCCGCTACAATCGAGGAATCCGTTGTTGGGGTCACACGTTTGGTTCGAGTCCTATTTGGCATCTCTGGAGCTCCAAACGCGCCTGGAGTTTTGGCCCACTGTGCGGCGGCTTTAGGGTAGTTTGGACTTTGACGCCAGCGAGGCCCAGCGAGGCAGCCTTGAGGGAGTAGATTATGGCGGGACTGGTCCGGCGCTTCTCCAGCTGCTCTCCACTTAGCAGGGCGAACAGTAATCTGTTTTGGCCCCCGATGGCGAAAAACAACCGCTCCCAAAAATATGGAAGAAAGACCAGGGAACAATCAGCTTTCTTCTGCTCTCGCTCAATTTCTAGCAGTGTGCTAAACATAAGCCAGAGGGTCTCCGGAATCGGTCTCAGCTGAACAGTCTGAGCACTGAGAATCGATGAACTCGACAGCAGCGCTGACCGCTTGCCAGTGCACTTCGCGCGAAGTATACTTTTGGCGCATGGAGTTTTCCCGAGCTTTTCCCGTCTCATGAAACAGCCGGGCTTTCCTTTTTATCCGTCTCGAAAAGTGAGTCGGTCATCTTCCCGATTCTCTTTGGTGACTCAGTAGTAGGAGACACCGCCCGCGGGGTTAGCCCATGCTGAGCCCACGCAGCGCGTCGCCAACCCCCCCCCCCCCCCCCCTCTCTCTCTCTCTCTCTCTCTCTCTCTCCGCCCCTTCCCGAGACGAGACCGCGCACAAGGCCACACTGCTGTGGCGAGACTCGACGGTCAGACGAATGAGTGTACCCGCAGAAATACTGGATGATACAATGCAAAAGAAGAGAGAGAGAGAGGCGGGTACCAAGGCGGGTACTTTTTGACATTTGCATCCATCACTTAGGTATTTCCAGGAAAGTTTTCACCCCTTCCGACACGTTCTCGTTTCGCGCAACGTCGCTTCCAGCGGTGTGGGGCGCAACAAGCAAAACACCGAAACAAAAACGCACAAAAATGTACTTCGACAGTATCTTTTTTTTTGGGCGTGTGTGAGTGCGTTGCTTTTCCTCTCTGAAGTTTGTTGCAGCTTGCATTGAGTGCAGTCAAGGAAAACTGCTTTCGGAATAGAGCTTCCGTCTAAAAATACAGTGCACCGGGTATGACCCCGCGAACGCACTTAGTTGCGCTCGGCGGAGCAGAGCGGCGCTTAATTTTGTTGCCCCCGCAACTTCATGCGGTAACAAACTTTTGTTTTTTGTTTGGAAAAATGATTGTATTTGAAAGCGAACTCACCTCATTTTGTCGCTGCCGACGTGCAGCTGGTTGAGGGTGACTGCGTTGACCACGTCCAGGAACTGCTTCATGGTGACGGAGCGTGGCTGTGACGAGGGTGGTGACGAGGGCCGTGACGAGGTCTGTGACACACTTGCGTAAATCCAAAGGGCACTGCACTGCACTGTCTGTACACTGGCTTCTTCACAGCGTAGGCGCGACGGACCGCTGTCGACGCGGTGCGCGAGGGCCGATGCAGATTTGAGACTAACGCACCCCGCCGCCCGGCCACGCTTAAATAGCCGAGCCTGCAGTCGGGTTCCTCGACTTCCCCCCCTACACTCTTCTGGGAGTGTGACGTCCGCGGGTGACGTATTCAGAGCACATGTGTGTTGTCTGCAGCCGGCCCCGCCCCGCCCCGCCCGCCACTCCCGCCGCTCAGAATAGCCGACGCGCTGCAGTGCGCAGGGCAGGGCGCAGGCCGGCCCTTCGGCAGGGGCCGCGGGCCCTTCGGCAAGTCGTCATGGACGGCGCGCCCTTCGGCAAGTCGTCATGGACGGCGCGCCCTTCGGCAAGTCGTCATGGACGGCGCGCCCTTCGGCAAGTCGTCATGGACGGCGCGCCCTTCGGCAAGTCGTCATGGACGGCGCGCCCTTCGGCAAGTCGTCATGGACGGCGCGCCCTTCGGCAAGTCGTCATGGACGGCGCGCCCTTCGGCAAGTCGTCATGGACGGCGAAGTCGTCAAATCATGGACCAACTTTCACGCCGACACGATGTTTCTTTTCGACGTCGCTTTGACCCATGAAGCATGAAACTGTGCACCACGCCGCTTGGGCGGTTGTCCGGACGACGCAGCCGAGCCAAGGCGGGACGCTGCGCGCCACACGCAGAGGGCGCGCGCACAGTGGGCCAGAAGACCGGTGGAGGCGGCCAAAATTCGAGAGAGGTTTTGAACACCAGAGTCACGAAACGGGACACGAACCGGGCGTGTGACCCCATCAATGGATTCCTCGTTCGGAGAGCAATCCATTGGTGGGGCCACACGTTCGGTTCGAGACCCATTAAGTGACTCTGGAGCTCAAAACGCGTCCGAGATTTCGGCCGCCTCCGCCGGTCTTCTGGCCCACTGTGCGCCGGCCGCGTCCAGCCGGCATCTCTGCATATTTCATGTCCTCCGCCCTTCGGGGCCGCCGGGGCCGCCGGGGCCTTGGGTGGGGCAATGCCGGGCAATGCCTCGGGATCGCATTGTACATTGTAGGAGCGGGTGCATTGTTGCGGAACAGCAATTACGGCCACGGCTTGCCGCGCTGCCGTGCCGCCGCGGCCCACCCTGGGCCCACCGGTACCCCGGCCGGGCTGCTGCCGCTGTCGGCGCTGTCGGCCTGCATTTGGGCGGGGCGGACCACTTCCCAGGGCCAGACCGCGCTGGGGGAGGGGGGGGGGGACGACGGGCGGTCCACTAATTGGGACTCGGCACCCGCAGGGTCGAGGTGCTACAGACTGACTCCGAGCGAGGTCTCTCTCCCTCCCACTCGTGGGGCGCCTCGCGTGGGTGCGAGAGAGACAGACCCCCGCTCGGAAACCACCTGCTGGCTGGCTGGCTGGCGGCGGGGCCGGTAGAGTGCGCTGCGCGCCTGCGAGGTAGGCAACTTGCTGACACCCGTCGCACCGAGGGCCGGCGGGCGGGCCTACCTTCCAGACGACAGGGGCAAAGCGCCGCTCAGCGCGGAGCACGCACAGTGGGCCAGAGCCGGTGCAGGCGGTCAAAACCCCGGACGCGTTTTGAGCTGCAGGACCCGAACCGAACGTGTGACCCCACCAATGGATTGCTCTCCGAACGAGGAATTCATTGGTGGGGCCACACGTCCGGTTGGAGTCCTGCTTAGCGACTCTGGAGCTCAAAACGCGTCCGGGATTTTGACCACCTCCGCCGGTTCTCTGGCCCACTGTTAGTCGAGGACGAATTTCTGGAGGCGCCCGCCGCGCCGCTCGGCTGCCATGGGTTGCCATGTGGAGAATGTCATCCACTTGCTGCGCAGCTGCGCAGCCCTGCGCTTGTCTGCGGGGAGCCACTATTTTCAAACGAGTTTGACAAATGTCTTGGACCTCAAAAGCGTGGCGACACACACACACACACACACACACACACACCCCACAGAGAGAGAGAGGGGTCCCACCCGGTCACCCCATCATCGCGGAGAGATACATCACAGGAACTGAAAGGGAAACGGTAGGAAATGGAAGCAGGCAGTCACTGGCCCCCGGGGGCTGGGCCAGGCTGGGCTAGCAGACCGATTCCGAGAGTCGTTTTCGTCGCTCTGTCTCTGCCGCACCTTTAGGGGACTCCCCACGACTGCGAGAGAGACAGAGCGACGAAAACGACTCTCGGAGTCGGTCCGCAGGCTGGGCTAGCCGTCGCCTCGCGTCGCCCCGCGTCGCCTGCAGCAACAGCAGCGAAAACGTCGCCGGCCCCGAAAATAGAATTCCGTTGTCACGTCGCAGCGAAACCGCACGCAACAAACGATGCCGTCGCACAAAATTGATTATTTTTCATATTGGTTTTTTTTTTGCACCAAGGTATGACAGGTGAGACGAGACGCTCAGGTGGAGTGGAGCGACCAGGGCTTTGTTTCGACAGACCGCTGTTCCATCCACATCCCGCCTTGTTACTCGTTTTCGCTGTTCGCGGATTCGACCCCCCGCCCCCTTCCGTCTCTCTCCCCATTTATTTTGCATTGATGCGGTGCAGCGCCGCGTTTGGTTTGAGGCTCAGTGGATTACGTCCCGGATATCGCCCGGGTGAAAGGCGCCGCAGCTGAGAGAGAGAGAGAGAGAGAGAGAGAGAGAGAGAGAGAGAGAGAGAGAGAGAGAGAGAGAGAGAGAAGGAGGGTGGGAGGGAGAAGGTGTGTTTGGACACCCGCCACGCCGGATCAGCGGGAAAGATACACACCCCAAAACACACCGTCCCTCTCTCTGCCATCTCGCCGCCGTCGAGTGGCCCGTGTCGCTCCGTCTCTCTCGCACCCGACGGGCCGTGCGGCCGGGCCGCGAGTGCGAGAGAGAGCGCAGTATGGACAGCCGCATCGTCGGCGGGGCGCCGTGTCGTCTGCAGAGCGTGGCCGCCGCCGTGCGCGTCGTCTGCTAAGGCGCTCCGCTGAGTGGCCGCGACGTGGCGACGCAGCGCGACGGACACGTTAGCTCGCGTTAGCGCGTGTTTACAGGTGATCGGCAGTGTGTGTGTGTGTGTTGAGTCTGGGTATGCACGTTGTGCACCAAGGCGTTCGTTGCCCCCCGGGTCATGATCCCCCTTGCACCTTCACAAAAATATACCGCTCGCGTCAATACGAGTGAGACAAGTCACTAGAGAGACAGGGAGAGAGAGACAGAGAGAGAGAGAGAGAGAGAGAGAGAGAGAGAGAGAGGGCGCTTTGTTTCCCCCGACACGCTTCCCAATTTGCAACGGCCCAGCCGGACTTCCCAGTCATCTTCCTACTGAGAACGCTAAAACAATGTTGTTGTTGTTGCTGCTGCCGGGCCGACCTTGCGCCAGTTATCCTCCTGCCCTTGTTGTTGTTGTTGCTGGCTCCATTATGGACGCAATAACAGTGGCGGAATCCTTTTCTTCCTCGGAACAGCGGAGCGGGCGTCTCGTGTGACGCCAGCGCCCGGCAGGCGCCCCGTCTCTCTCGCACCCCTGCGGCCCTGCGGGACGCCCCGTGAGGGCGAGAGAGAGGGAGCATCAAAGGCCTGTTCGAGATCGGGCCGCCGGCGGCCGAACTGTTGTGTCTTGTTGCTGGAAGCAACGGCGGGGCGGGGCGCTGAGCGATCCGCGCAGGTTGCTGTTCGAGGAAGTGGCCTCCCTCGCCGGGCCGTGTGTGTACTACGCCAGTGTGGGTGGGAGCGACGGAAGCGGCAGGGCGAGAGAGCGCGAAGCACAACAAGGCCTTTCTTTCGAGCGAACCAATAGAAGAGACTGCGCACGATATAGTGCGTCTGCCACCTATTTTTAAGAGGTCCAACACACCACCGCACGGTGGGCCAGGAGCCCGGTGGAGGCGGGCAAAACTCTAGAAGCGTTCTGTGGTCCAGAGTCGCGAAGCAGGACTCGAACTTACCGTGTGACCCCACCAATGGATTCCTCGTTCGGAGAGCAGTCCGTTGGTGGCATCACACGCTCGGTTCGAGTCCCATTTCAAGACTCCGCAGCCCAAAACGCCTCCACTGGTCTTCTGTCCCACTGTGCACCGTGGAGCCTGGTAAAAATGTCACTTCGCAAAATGCCGTCATGACATATTACAAAATAAAACATGCGGAATCACCTAGCAGGACTGCGCAGCGCGGAGCGGGGTGCCGAATGCCGTTGAGCTCGAATGGAAGGTTTGGCCGAGGGAAGTGGCTGTTGTTCCGCTCGGGCTACGCGGCTACGCGAACGGCATCCGTTGTGCGCGGGAAAAGGGGCAAAACAACCTGCAGTCTCGGGGCAACAGGCTCTACGCACCACGCGGCCCACGCGGCACACGCGGCCTTTCCGGGAACCTCGCCTTGTTTTGAACGCGCGATTGCAATTCCAGGAAGGTGACGTCACTTTCATTCCAATGCGAATCGAGGCTTGATCGAGCGTGTTCGAGATTGGGACGAGCAATCCTTTCGTGGAGTCACGCGTTTCGAGTTCCAGAGTCGCTAAATGGGACTCGAACCGAACGTGTGACCCCACCAATGGATTGCTCTCCGAAAGAGGAATCCGCTGGTGGGGTCACACGCTCGGTTCGACTTCTCTTCAGCGACTCTGGAGCTCAAAACGCGTCTCGAGTTTTGGCCGCCTCCACCGGTCTTCTGGCAAATCCACTGTGCCTCGGCGTGCGGTTCCTCAGGGTCAGTGCCCTGTCGACGGGCCGCGGCGTCTTCGAGAGCGGATCTTTGTCGAACCGAACAGACGAGGCGACTCCGTTGTTGGCTTTTCAGGATGTAGTATGGATAGAGTGAGCGTAACTTTGCCTGCAGCGAGTCGTCCTAGAACACAGTCGAACACAGCCAGTTCCGGAAAGCGCTGCAAGCCTTGTAAACATGGCCGACTTACGCGGGACGCCCTCGCACACACACACACACACACACACACACACACACACACACACACACGTGTGCGCGCGCGTCCGAAAATAAGGCCGCCATCGATTGCTGGACTTGACTCATGATGTCTCTCTCTCTCTCTCTCTCTCTCTCTCTCTCTCTCTCTCTCTCTCTCTCTCTCTCTCCCT